ATCACAGAAAAGTCACCATCCTCCTTCTGTAAAGCTCCACAGTCTGGAAAGACCAGGTCTGGTAAGCATGGTGTGGTGGTTTGGAAAAACCTTTCTCCCCTGGGGCTGGTGATAGTCTGCCCCAGGGGGTAGTGTTTTTGATACTGGACCAATTAAAATTTGATGACCCTGCGGAAGTTACATACAAAACTGGAAGAGAAGATGTTAATTTTAACTGCGTAGCTGGAAGCAGAAGCAGCCATGCCTTGAAACTCCACATGTTAGAGGAGGGCCGGGGGGCCAGGAGCAGCACTGAGTGAAGCCCCCCCTGAAGCTGGTGATCGAGGGGGACCCCGAAAGATTGGGAAGACCCCCTGGGTTGCATCTTCTTCCCCCCCTCGCAGTTGGAGGGAGAGAAAAGCAGCGGCAAAAGCAGCACAACAGAGAGCTGTGGCTGTGAGCCAAGACGGGCTTCTGGTCAAAAGACTGTGCAAAGGAACTCCAGGAGCTAGAGAAAATAGCAGATGAGCAGCAAATATGGCATGGACCAGACTGAGAGATGGAGGGACATCCAACAGAGAGAGAGAGAGAGAGAGTTGGTTGGAATTAGTTCTAGGGTAAGGACTAAACTAAAAGCCCTTAAAACTCTGACTCCAGGGAGGAGGGGTAGAAATCCCCAAAGAAGTCTCCTGAGAGCTCGTCCCCGGGGACCAGAACCTTCACGGAGCAAGAGCAGGGGATAAAGACTTTAAACTTCAACTGCTTGCACTTTGTGCTGCAGACGTGGTGACACGGGTGTTCCCCTGAAACCCATGGTAACACCCTTGGACAAGGTGGCCAAGGAGCGAGAAGTGGGGGCAGACTCCCCACATCCCTTAGAAGAAAGAAGAATTCTAATTGAAACTGCTGCCTTAAAGATAAGAGACACTTCCAAGTGCCACAGAAATTAATTTGGAAGAGCTGTGGCCTGAAAGTGAAAAAAAGACTTCTTCTTTCTTTCTGGACTTTTTTTTGAAGGAAAGGAGAGATGGTCTATGTATATATATTGTTTCACCATAGAAGAGATAGTTAAAATTGTTATATATATGTATATATATATGTATTATAGTATTTATTGTGTAAGTAACAACTTGTAATATAATTCCCTTCCCCCATACTGAGTTGTGCCTGTCTGAAAACTTCTCTACACACGTTAGAACAAATTGTAAAAAAACTTTTGAAATTAGCTTTTTAAAATTGTTTTTCCAAACCTCCACACATGGGAAGCCAGAAGCCTTTAGAGGAACTGTGGTGGCTTGAACAACAAATACCATTAATCTGGAGATTATAAAATCCTTTAATCTGTTTTTAATCTCTGTGTTTTTTAAGCTGCTTCTTAGAAACTTTAAATCAACTGATACTTTCCGTCAGTCTCTTGGTTCAGTATTAGACAGGATCGGAGGGTCTTGTGTAATGCATACGGTGTGAGGTACACTGCTCCCATCTCCCCAGCTCAGCTGTCATGGCAGGTGCCTGTTTCAAAGGCTCATATTTGTAAATCTTGATGATGCTGCTTTTTTTGCCAAGAAATTTAACTCCACTCAATATCAGTCCTCATGACTTATGTCTTCTAATTGTTTTTTTCTCCATTAATACATTTCTCGTTTTTTTGGTTTGTTGGTTGGTTGGGTTTTTTGTTGTTTTTTTTTTTTTTTTCTTGGTATGTGTTTTTTTGGTGTTTTGTTTTGTTTTGATTTTTTTTGGTTGTTTTTTTTTGTTTGTTTTGTTTTTTTGATTGCTAGGGATAAAACATGCCTCCAGGGAATAATTGGCCTGACTGCCCTCTCTTGCAAAAATACACAGGAAACCCTCTGCATTTTTGCTATCAAAATTTTGTTGGATTATTCTGTGATAAGTGAAGTGTAGGATAGAAATGAGCTATCTTTCTGTTATGGAAATCCTACTCCAACGCTATGCTATTGCATGAGATACATTAATAATTTACATACCATTTTCTCTCTTTTTCCGTCCCGAGGGAGGACTGTCCCAACTAATTTTTTTTTTTTTTTGCCAGCAGGTAAAAATACCAATTAAACACATTTTCTTAGTTTCAGTCCACAACAGTTTAATGCCAAGGGAATGTAAGGCAAAAAAATAAGCAAGCTGCTTTTTGTTTTGCTAGGGTGGTTGGTTATACCTCAAGAATCAGCAAAGGTGCTATTTCACGGTTCAGCAATTCTTAGCTAACATCAGTGCAGTGATGCAGGTGGGGCCAACTGGCTGCCCTTTGGCACAGATCTCGTTCAGCAGATGGATCCAGGAAAAGCCATATGTTATCCACCTATTTCAGATCATGCCTGTGTGATGGTTTCAGTCTAGGCCTTCCTGGAAACCAGCTGGTAACCAGGAAGGAACTAGGAAGGTGACCAAGGAAGTATTCCATGCTATTCCTTTACGTAACCTAGGGTATAAATAAGGCATTGATAAGATAGTTCGCGCTCTTCTCTTCCGGCGAGGTTGGAGAACGGTGGTCCCTGTCTGGGCCTGGCTTATCTGGAGCTGAGGCCTACAGTAACCGCTGCTATCGGCCACGCTTGAGGGGGGAGTGCTGGGCTGTGTCCAGGCGTACTGCTTTCTTTCAAGGGAAGTGGTGAGCTCTTGCCAATTCTTCAGCTTTGCTGGGTTTTTTTTTAGATTGTGTAGATCTGTTTTATTATTTGTCCCTTTTCACCCTATTTTATCCTTTTCCCTTCTCCCTTTCCCCCCCCCCCTCTTCCCTTCAACTTCGGGAAGCTATTTGGGGTCATAGATTTATATATATATATATATATATAATTCTCATTGTATATCTCTGTTTTATACATAATATATATATATATTTTTGCTAGAACTTTGGCTGCCTGGTTTTCCTTTTTGCTGTTTTTTTCCTTCCCTCTCTGGGAAGGAGACCCTGTTGTCGAGTTTCGGAGACTTGGCAGGAAGCCAACTCCAAACTTGCACACCTGTTCATAGGTAGTCTTTCTATGTTGATACGGCCGTACAGAGAATAGGAGATGAAGGGAAAAGCAAAAGATTTTGTATGGATTGAACAAAATTGAAGTAAAAATGTAGGGCTACGTCATCCCATGCCTCAGGGACCAGGTGTGAATCCCTCAGAGAGAGCAAATAGCAAAAGTACACAGGTAGGTACTTGCTGGTCCTCGTGCTTCAAGTGCCTAACAGCCAGCATTCAAAAGCTGGAGATAAGAAAGCATGGTATTTAAGTGCTTGGCATAAATTTTTTGGAGGAGCTATTTTCTTGTTCCTTGTGACCCATCCATCCTTTTGACAGAGACTTGAGTATTAAAACCTAACACCAGTTTTTCTGCTGAGGTCAGTGCACTCAGAAGCTCATCACCTTAAGTACATTACAAATGCTAATCATTGTAGCTGAGGTTATATTATTACCAACTGAGGAATGACTGATCAATTGTTAAACAATGATTGAGCTCATTAAGGAAATGTATAAATAAGTTATTTTTGTGGAACCACCAGAAAAATAGAATTCTGTACCACAGTCTGAACAGTGGCCAAGGACTGCATGTGCCCCTGTGCCGTCCTGGGCACCAGCTGGAGGAAGCAGTCTACCACCCTCGCAGGACTGCCCACAGCTCAGTCTCTAGCACACTGAACATTTCCTCTCCCAATCTCAACAAGTTTGATCTAACTTTGGTGAGATAATAAAAAAACCAAAATCCCAGTAGAGTGAGTACTGAAAAGAGATTAATTGCCTTTAGGATTTTGATTTTGACATTTAAATTCCAGTCTGCAATTCATGTAATTCTATTTTGTTATATTTTTTTTACAAACTCTGTGTTGTAATCATGGATTTTTGTTGGCAGTATAAGGTGATAGGTAAGGCCACACAAAAGAAGAAAAAGGCTCCTGATGGTTTCCTGGAAAAAACCATCACCAGGGGAGACATTCCCAGGAACTGATAAAAGGGTTAAAACAAAGAAAGGAGTGATATGGAGATAACACAGCCTTTCTTCCTGAACATTCTGGCCCCCGAACTCGGGAAGTGGACCCTTGGGCCTATTTCATCTGTCTATCACCCCCAAATTTACTTTATTGAGTATAGCCACTCAAACTGCCTAAAGAAAAAGGTATAAAAAGATATTGGGCATAAGCAAAAATCAGGGAGAAGTTCCATCAATGCTGCGGAAGTAACCGAAGGGCTACCTTTCCTCCCTCCACCTTCTTGGAATGCCATGAGATTAGTGATTGCTTTATACATATGCACTAATTTTACTTTTTTTCCATACAACTTTAAAATTTTTACTTATTCCTTCATTGTAAGTTGCTTTTGCTTTAGCGTGTGGGCCTATGCTTTATATTATTGTTATTACTACATACTATAAGTGTGCTTTTTTTGCAGTTGGACCCTATTCCAGGCACAGCAAACCTCATATATTATCACAGATATGTATTAATAAATGTGTTATTTTGTGAACTGTTGGAGTGAGTTCGTTTTCAGGTGCTGACAGTTTTGTTGACGGTGAAATAACTCATAGGAGAAACCTGTTGAGGGGTTTTTCTACCGCTATTAAGTGCAGTCCCCATATAAAAGGTATCAAATGTCCTATCCATCTTGGTGAATCTGTTAAACCAAGGGTCTCATTAGGTGAGACGCTAAAAGACTGTTTTGGACGTTAAAAGGCTTTGATCTCCTGGGGGACAGTGGTAGCCAAAAAAATAAATTAATACAGGTTGGACAGAAAATGCTTCTTTTCTGCTCCTTTTCATGTGACAGGCATGATATTTTGAAATTATCTAAGTCCTTTCTCCTAGAATGCAATTGCATTTGGTTGTTTATCGTGTTTATGTTCAACTTTTATTGATTTCAAAAGGTCCAAATTACTCTTTGGAGTGGCACAGTTCAGAAAGAGTGATAAATTATTATCATAGGGTCCAAAAAACCTCCAAACAAACAAAACTCAAAAAACCCCCAACAAATCAAGCACCTATAAAAAGCTAACATGTGGGTTTCTTTTTCTACATAGCATTTCACACTGTGTCAGAGCCTGTGTGTGTGAGAGAGAGAAGTAGAATGGATAAGTCCAGGAAACATTTTACTGATCTTATAGATAAAGGAATAGCGGCTGCCAGTTTACTGCCTCGTGATGAACTGCTGTTTTCTTACAATGGAACTCTCTACCCTGTCACTATTTGTAGTCCTGAAACATTCAGAGCCTTGGAGTCCTTTGAATCCAGAAGTGATGATGTAATTTTGGCAGGATACCCTAAATCTGGTGAATATATTTTGCTTTTTTGTTAAATAATGTAATATAATTGCAAATAGGTGGATTTGTATTAATATATGCAATATATATGATATAATATATATTATATTGAATAATTATATTTAGAATGTTCACAAAATTTTGTGAAATGTATTTTGTTCTCAAAAATCACAAGATAATTAATTATGAGGATTTTATGTAGGAAATTTTCCAAAAGACTGAGAAAAACAATCTGATTTCTTTTCTATAACATGTAAAGGTTTTTGTTATCTTTACTTTTCATAGTTATGAAGTTAAATGCATGAATACACTGATTTACACCACACATAATGAGATCCCGTGATATTACAGGATCTGCTGTCACATTTATCTTTGTAAAGTTAACAGCTTTGTATTTTTACACGGAATTGAGCTTTCTGTACCTTCCCATGCCATGCTGCATTTTCTTTAGTTTGTTTCATATAGATGTCAGGAAATAGCTATCAAAAATATTTTTTAGCACTTGAAATGATCACATTGTTCAATGCTTATTAGGAAATCAGGAGGAGATCTTTGCTAGGAGTGTAAGTTTACAACCTTTACTCCTTTGCTTCTTCTGCCTGAGAGCACCCTGTGCTGCTCCTTATCAGAGCCACAGGTTTGGGTCAGATGTGTCTCATATCCATTTTAATCTAGTAGTTTCTCTCCTCCGGCAACTGGGTTCGCACTGTCTTAGAGCTGAAAGGATTGCAAGGTTTTTGATTTTTTATCATATTTTCTTTTTGAAGAAATGCTTGCACCAGACTGCAGTTGTTAAGACTGTAGTGAGAAAGATGTAGGAACCCAGTATCCAGAAGTCAGGAAATGGTAGACTAAAGATGGGAGTTCGCTACAGACTCTTTGGTATGTTTTGAGAAAAATATAATAAAAGTGTATAGGAAATGTCACTTCACAGAATTTTTTTCCTATTGGCAAAGCAAATGAGTACATACAGCACAGAGGACCAAAGGTAGGACCCTGACAGGTGATTGTCCAGATAGTCAGCTGTGATTGTATCACATGAAAGGAGACCAGGTAACTCACCTAGTAGTACTACCTTCCTCCTAGCTTTCCTGGAAAATCCATTTCTGTTTATTCTAAAACTTTTACAAGAAATTCTGTATTTTTCCTCTTTCAGGCACAAACTGGCTAAGTCAAATCTTAACTGACCTGATAAACATATCTGAAAAGAAAACACAGGATGGAGAAAGTGGTGTGAATGATGAAGAACTAGAATTCCCCTACCTTGAAGTTGGAGATGCCAAGAAATATGAGGTGGGAACAGAATATGTATAAAATTATTGAAATTATGTGCTTCAAATACTGAATATATGGAGTGTGAAATATTCCACTGTTTGAAAAGAACTCTCCCACTTTTCTGTATATGACATCTAGTCAGGACGAATCTTATCTGGATTGCCAAATGGTGAGGAATAAATGAACACTTCAATGAGAGTGACAGGAGCACTTACCCATTAGATACACAAGAACTGCAGAAATTCAGCATAGCATCTTCTGTGTTAAGGAAGAGCTTCAAGAAATATCAAATAATGAAATACTAGCTTTTGTGTCCTTTACTAGCTCTTCCTCCTCACCCCTGCATCCAGTCCTTGAGATCCTTCAGCTTTCACATATACCCAGTTAGAGTCTGTATCTTACCTTCAGTTTTGAGCCCTTGTCTAACAGAACATGTCAAGTTCATTATCACTAAAGAGAATTAACAATGGATAGTCTTTCTCTAGTCACTCATTCTCAGGGGTTTTTGAAGATTAGAGCTACTCACAGCAGCCCACTAATATCCCAGGGTAAAACATACACACACAGAAAAGTACTTTTATCAACCAATAACTTGATAAGTTTAGCAAGGCAACATTTTAGAATAGGCTGTTGGAAAGAATATTTGTACTAACTGAACTGTCCGCTCTCCTCCTTCCAATTCCTAAAGCGAATGACCAAATTACGTTCTCCAAGATTTATGGTTACTCATCTCTGTCCTGAAAACCTTCCCAAGTCTATCTTCAAAAATAAAGTCAAGGTAAGTGCTGATTTTAATGTCTTGAAAGCAAACACTTCAACAGCTTTTTTTATTTAATAGCCAATGAAGTACTTTTCTGCCAATTTTCAGAATCACTCTTATACTTAAGTGTTTAGCCTGACCATTTCTACATGCCTGTTTAAATATTGCCATTCATCTCACTTAACCTCTGTTCGTCCTTATTGGCACCTTTGTGACAGTCTCCATAAGGGAGTTGCAGGGCTTGAACAAATCCTCCAGAGGCAAAATGCTTTTTGAGACAATTTCCCAAGGGAGACATTTTGTGGTGTTGTCACAAGTGAGGCCTTCAGTGTGTCAAGTTTCAGAGAGAATTTGCATTTTTGTGATTTTTTTCCCTGCTACCTAAATGATGAATTATGCTTGTATTGAGCAAAACATACTTAGATTCTGCATAATTAATTTGGTTAATCTGTATAAAATACTTTAATAATTAAAGGCAATCACCTTCACATGGTTCCAAAGCAAAGTTAAATACTTCACCTTCTTAATTTGGAATGAAATTGCTATGTCTGCAAGTAGCATACAAGATATTAGAAATTCCCCAACTGCAATTATAAAATATATTATTATTGTTTTCATGCTATAGTTTGTTACATCTTTCTGTACAAATAATTAATTTTTTTTTCTAGATATTGTTATTGATTCGTAACCCAAAAGATTTAGCTACATCTTTTTACCATTTTTCCAATGGCCTGTCCATTCTTCCCTCCTATGAGACCTGGGATGATTTCTTCACAGATTTCATGACAAAGAAAGGTACAGTATATTATTCTGGATGTGTCAATTATTCAATGCTTTGTCTTTGTCTAAAAAAGCTTTACTTCAGTAAATCAGCTTCACTAGGAATTTTTGGTTTACAGTACAAAAGCAGAGATTAAAAAGAGAAAGTTAGACATTTGCACTAAAGTTTACCATACTTGTCTTACTGCTTGAGGATAAGTCCCTGTCAAAACTGCAGTTCCACAAGCTGCTTTAACTTGTCTAAACTGATATTTTTTCTGGAAGAAGTAATTCTTCCTTATCTCTGTCTTGGATCCCCTTCACCGCTCCTCTCCAGTGTCCATCATCTTGTGTCCATACAGGCATATAAACACCTACATGCCAAATAGGATGAAAGGAATTATTTGGACTAAGTCTAATGCATTAAAAAGGAGAGAAAATAATAACACTAGTTTAAATTGCATAAGTTTAGCATAGCACACGGCCAGCTGAAGGGAGGGTTACACAAGGTTTCAAAGTGGATTAAGGGAGTCTGCAAGATGGTTTGAGTACTGATAGCTCTTTGGTGGAGCCCCATCTGCCCTGAGATACTAACAAGTTTTACTGTTCCAACTTACAAATTGTATCATATCCCTGAGACTTGTGCATATGCCAGAACAGCCTGGAGCAAAACCTATAATTTCCACAGAAGGGTGTAAACTCTGCCATAGACATGATTAATAGTGCTCATGGCTGAGAGATCAACTTAATGAATAAAATTTAGTTTATTTTTTAAGGAGCTTGTCTAATGTTCATTTATGACATATCTTAGGATTCTTTTGTTCTATTTAGTGGTCTGGGGATCCTACTTCGAATACCTTTCCAAATGGAACAACTATGCTGATGAAGAAAATGTTATGACAATAACTTATGAAGAGCTAAAAGAGGTGAGGTTATCAATAATTACAAATATTTTATACTTCAAAGAGCATTTTTTCCTAAACCAAGTCACCATTATATTCATGTAGGGTGTGCAAACTGTGTGGGATAGATTCTTATTTTACGTAAAGGTAAAATGCAAACTCAAAAACCTTTTAAAATTTTGCTTGAGAAAATTATTATTGTTTTTTATTTAGCTGTGCTATAAGCCCAAATAATTGTAAATCAAAATCCCCAATAATTTTCTGGGAGGAGCTTTTATACATTCAACAGTGTATATTTTGTTCAGCTGTAAATGGTGCACAGTCTTTTGTAATCTATAGGGAAACAGCTCATATCTCCTCTAAAATAATTATGGAGAAGAGAACACTATGTATTACTCTAGTCCTACTGAACTCCGTGAATATTCCGTATATGTAGCTAGCAGAGAGATGTGGGGAATTGTAAACGCCTTGGAAAGCAATGTAATTTGCTTGAATGTCACGTGGTATGTTACATTCCTCTTTCCAGAATCCTGTCGTGGGTGTGAAAAACATAGCTGCTTTCTTAGGGATTTCAGTGACTGAGGAGGAGCTTCAGCTTGTGGTAGAGAGGAGCAGCTTTCAGTCAATGAAGAAGAACTCACAGAAGACCCATGGGGCATTAGGCAACGTTCTCTTTCGCAAAGGTAGGAAGCTCCAAGCAGTTCAGAGGTAGAAATGTCACATTCTCAAGAACTTGGGCCATTCTTTGCTTCTTTTTTTTGCACACATATTAGCATTGCAAGTTAGTATCAAGCAGGTTATCACTATTTCACTTGAGAAAGCTATTCAAGGAGCACTGGTGAGAAAGATACCCAGCAAGGCTCTGGCAACAGAGCAAATTTTATAGGCCCAAAGACAGCTGTCAGGAAGGAGGAACTGTCATGTGTCTGAACTCTGCTTTACCTCTGTGCCTATGTCACTGATTGTTCAGCCATTAGAGGCTTATCCGAGCAGGCAGCACTGGGCCAAACTCAACTTGAGTGGCACGATCACACTTTTTAGGAGGGCCACCGCCAAACCCCTGTTCACTCTTACAGGTTAAGACTAAGTCAAGCATGCAAGAATCAGGTACACAGAGGAGGGGCAACAAAAGGGAACTATTTTTGCAGCACAGTGTAGGGGACACAGAAATGGGAAGGCCAACTGGCTGTCAATCTATTTATGCAGTTTATGTTAAAGAAGTCATTAGATAAAAACTCTAGCTGCCAAAGGAGCAGAAACCCAGCTCTGCCTCCTGCGAGATAATTCTTAATCAATTCCTCATGATCTTTCACTTTGTCAGTCATAACTGACTGGAGTAGGGAGCTGCAGGGGACCAGGACTTTAGGCTGCCTTTTTGAACACAGTCACCGGAAGAGGAGTATTCTCTTTTGCATTATAGCAGTTTTGCAGATATGTAGCTCCACTGAGTTCACAAAATTATATTGGTGCAGAAATGAGTAGTTTTATCTGGAAAAATAGATCAACAGTATTTAGTGCACAATGGAATAAGAATGACAGATGTATAGAAAAATTTTTCTTGATTTTCAAGTTTCTTTACTTCTCTGAAGGTGCTGTAAGTGACTGGAAGAATCTTTTCAGTGAAGATCAGAATGAGAAAATGGACAAAGCATTTGAAGAATATGTAGGAGGAACTAAACTTGGAAAAAAGTTAAAGTATGAAGTGTACTGTAAAGCCTGAAGAGTAATAAAATGTGGTCAGAACGAGAACTTCTCGAGGCACACACTGATAATCTGAGTACTATATACTGGAAAATTAGATCAAATTATCAAAGCACTGTTAGAATTACTTTAATAAACACATTGCAGCAGCCTTTATAGTGACGATGAATAGTAGGCTTTTGTTTTATGGTGAGATCTTTGGCTTGCTTTGGCTACACCCATTTGCTGCAAGATGTGTCAACTAATCATATTCCCAAAAATTCAACAGCCCTGTTCCAGTAGCTGTCACCTGGAGGGAAATGACCCTTTTCTTTCTAGCCAAACCCCATCTTTCTAGACTATTTTGTAGTTATTTACTGTGCAGATAATTTTTTCTTCAAAAATGTTTCAAATCAAGCAACATCTTCACAGAAAAGATTACTAGCAAAAATATGGATCTGACACAAACCTAATGACAAAGGATGTCTTCCATGACTTCAGCACAAACTGTATCAGAGCTAGAGAGGGAAGAAAGAAAGCGAATGAAGATCAGCATTCTTAAGGATTTTAATCTCTCTTAATGCAAAATGTGAGGATGGATCTCAGATTATAGGCTGGTGTCAATCGGAAAAATTCACTCAGAGTCACTGCTTTTATAGGAACATAGAACAGCCCAGGATGGAAGAGATCTTGAAAAATTATACGATCCAACCTTTCATGAGAAAGGGAGCCTAGATTAGATTACTGCATCTTGAAGACCTCCAGTGATGAGGACAGACTCTACCACATTTCTGGAGAGGTTGTTCCAGTGAATGATTGTTCTCACTGTAAAAATTTTTTTCTTATATTAAGATGAAACCCCTCCTCATGCAACATGAACCCACTGCTCTTACCTTCTCCATATGGCTCCTTGTGAATAGAGAATCTCTGTCCTCTTTGTTGCTGCCCTTTAACTACTGCAATACTGTGATGAGGTTGTCCCTGAGCCTTCTCATCTTTGTGGTCCTCCTTTGGAACCCCTCCAGTTTGTCAGTGTCTTTCTTGAAAATGGTTCTGTTGAGAGAGTGGGAGTGCCAAGAGTGATGGTGTGAGACATTACTATACTCAGCTATATTGTACTGCCATTGCTATTTGGCTCTGTGGACACAGTATTTCAGACCTGTCCAGGGACTAACTGCACTTCAGCCACCTGTTCTGGGAAAAGAAGCAAAATTAAGTCCTTTAAGTACAGTTGAATTAAAAATAGGAAAAACCACACCCAATTTATAGATTCACCACTAAGCAGATAAGAAATAGAAATAAAATATACACTAGAGAATAATAAAGTGACTTTTTGCTTCACTCTTTTAAAGCTTGTTCGTTCTGCCTGGACATATGTAGACATACAGAGTTTTGCGAAGAAATAGGAATGCTTAATATTTAGAAAAAATGAATGAATTCAAAGGCAGAGCAGCTGAAAATCCTGATGCAAGTCATCTTTGAACAACTACAAATTATCTGTAAGAACCCAGAAAGGTACCAGATGCCTTGGAGAACATATGTAATAGCTGTGTTAAAAACTTGAGAAACAATCAAAATAGAGCAGTCACCTTAACTTGATACCTGGAAATGCACTAGCAAAAATAATCAAGCAACCCTCCGTGAAACATTTTGAGGATAATAAGGTAGTAAGTATAAATCATGTCACAGCTGTTTGTGTTCCTCCTTTGAAAGATAACTTACCTCTTGAATAAGCCATAGACAAGAGATACAATAGGTGACAGCATCAGAAAGGGTCTGAAATTATATGACAGAAGAGACACAATGTAAATCCAGAAATGTATGGCCTTGTATGTGGAGATGGCAATGTACAAATGTGGTTATAGAAATGAAATTGAAGTACTGAAAGTAGATTTGTGTTCCTATCAACTCATACAACAGCTACTAAAGGCATTCAGAAGCAGGGTCACCAGCAGCAATACTTTCAGGAATATCCACTTGTTTACATGAATGTTATGAACTTGGTTGCATGCTCATGGTCAAACTGCATATACTAGATGACAGCAAACTGGGAGGTCAATTAAAGCAGTATCCTCTAGTGGTGAGTCCTGGTCATATTCAACATTGTTCTTAGCATTGCTGGACAAACTAATATCACACACTGTGTCATAAATGATTGACTTTTAAGACTGGAGATCAGAATAGACAGCTGAAAGTACTTGAGAAAACGGGGAAACAATTTGAAACAACATAGCAAATTGAAAAGATTAGCAAACACAAAGATCAGTAAAGGTAAGTGTAAAACACTACATTTAGAAAAGAGAAAGCAAAGGCACAGGTACTCAATGGGGGTAAACCAGTGATGCAGCAGTTGGCATGAAAAGACCTGAGGAATCACACTCAGCAAGAACTAACATGGTGACAGTGCTGGAAAAAAATGGCCAAATCTTATTCAGGTCTACTGTAACAGGAGTACCATACTTAAAACACAGGCAATAATTATTACAGCCTCTGTTTGCAGGTCAATCTTAACTGGAGAATGATGCTCTGCACAGACTGCAAAGAAATTTCATCTGTCAGGGAAAAGATAATCATGCTTGATACTTTAGCAGTACAAGGTGAGGACTAGAAATTCACATGAAGTCTCTTCTATATCTATACTTGTACGCATCTTGTAATATAGCAGACCAGCTTTCTGCATTCTTACTGATCCCCTGCCTGTGCCCCTTCTTGCATGAATTACATTTTCACCAAACACCTCAGTTTATGGAACAGGCAAAAGTCTATCAAGTCTGACTTCTTATGTGATAATTTTCCCCCAATTAGATCCACACCAGATTTTAGAGTTGCATTCTGGATTCTCACTGGCTGAATCCCATTGCAGCTTCATGGCAGCTTTTGGGTCTTCAGACGCTGACACCACACAAGAGCCTTCCCTTGCAGTGAGGCTTTCCAGGCACAATGGACTTTGTGAAGTAAATCTGCGTATCGCATTTATTTTAGTTAAGAAGGTGAAATCATTAATCTTAAAAAACTGTTACCTTTGTAGCATTTTTGGGTGAGAGATTATGTAGGTAGTTGTTACTGAGTCTGGAAACAATCTTTGCAAACACTGGATGCTACACGGCTTCCAGGGGAAAGACAAGATCTCTGGGTAATTCCTCAAATAATAATACATCACCATTACTCTATTGAACTAGATTAAAATTAGTTGGAAAACACCTAAACTGAAATAAAACATAGACATGTCCTCACTGATCTGACAGAAAACCAGACCATGACCTGTTTCTGCAGTTTATCCTCTCCGGTGTCATCCCAAGGCTTGGGTTTAGTCTCTTTGTGCCCTTACAGTCTCACTCTGAAGGACCGAGCTATTCAAGCAGTAACACCTCACATGCTTTTGCCCTGTTGAAGATACACTGTGGGCCCTTGCATTTAGTGGAGTAAGGAGGTGAGAGAGAAGAGGATAAAGAAGGCAAGCTGCCATGTTAGAAAATTAATGTAGGCAAGGAAACTTGATGGACGACTAACATTATGAGAGAGTGAAATGTCAGCAGAGGTGAAGTCAGTGAGTGTGAGAATCAATTCAGAAAAATTTGGGAATCTCTTTTCAGGTTAAGATATAATTGTCTAACACAATAGGAGTGGCTTTCAAATGTTATTACTGCTAGATCCTTACCAATATTCAAAATAAAAAAAAATTATCTTTCTTTTTGGTCTGGTCTTTTTTGATTTATGATTCCTGAAATGATATATTTCCACTGAAGGGGATGCTTACATTGTATTTTTTGCTGTTTGCTTTAAGAAGATGAACGAACCAGAAATATTATATTAACCCATCTCCTACTTCATGTCTTTTCCCCAATCCATTTTTCAAAACAAGGCTAAGGTAAATCTTTGGCTAAGGTGAATTTTCTCTTTATGTTGTACTGCAAATGCTTCTGATATCAGCATTTCTATCCAAGGCAGATTTTCCTGTAGGTAACTGAACAACTCAGAGTTTTGCCTGGTGACCATATGAGCTGTGCCATATGAGTCAGTCACCTGCTTACCCTGAGACACTGGCTGTTGGACAGACAGCGCTGGGACTGGGACTCCCGGCATCCTCAGGGCACCTGGTTAGCCCTAGTCTCTCCAGAGAGACAGGGCTGCTCTGAGCCCTCACCTCTGCAGCTCCTGAGCAGACTGACAGGTGACTGTGACAGCATCGAGCACCCTGCTCATAAGCAGAGATCAGAGTCTAAGGGTTAAAGGACCTGAAGGCACCTTTGTCCCCAGTACCTCAGGTGACAAGTTGTTAAATTTCATGTCGAGGTCTTATCTGGTTCCCTCAGGATTCAGGTTGGCTGGCTCCAAAGACAGGAGAAAAAACGTTTTAATTTCTTGATGCTCTTTAGTATTGGCAAGGGGAAGGAAATTTTCCTTTGCAACTCAGAGTAAACACATGGACAGAAAACTGAAAACAATAACAAAAAGAAAGCTGGCAGAGAATATAATGTATGAACAGTCTCAAACTTTTATGAGTAAAATAGCACTGCTAGAGAAAATATTTCCAATAAAATGGTCAATTTTGATGGTTCTGCATTTTGAGAGAAAAAAAATTTTAAATTATTATTTGTAAGTAACTTTTATCGATCTTCCAAGTCTTACAGTTATGCTTTTGATTTTACACCTCCTCATGCTTAATTAAACTTGTGTTTAGATTTCCTAAGTGAGTGTCTAACAGCCATTTATGATGAAAGAGACAAGTATGTGATGCAAGGGTTTGATATATGGATAGTGAACAGGACTCATACTATATTCAAGGGCATGAAGAGTGAAAGGCAGGGCAATTAAGCCTTTCTATATTGTCTGTCTGTTTGGATGATCTGTGGAGGTATCTATTTTTGCACCTCAATACTATTTATCTTCTTAAAAGGTATCAGCTAGAATACAAATAACAGCCACATAAAGAACAATTTCGCCCAAAGATTAAATTATGGATGTTAGAAGAGAGAAATGCAACTGAAGTAATACAGGTAGAATTTGATTCACATTAATGCAGAACCTAAGTATTGATCTTCACATGAAAGTGACCCTCCTGTAGGATAGGATTTGGTGATGCAAAAGTCTCAAATGTGAGTATTTCATCATGAGAATTCTGGGTTAAATGGTACTTGTCCTTAGCTCTGTAGATACTACCTGAAGTGATGATGTTACAAGGACTGGCTTCAGGACAGAGCCACCATCTGTAAGGAAGCTATGGTGGATGTGTATCCACCAAAGTAGTCGATAAGCCAGGTTGAGATTCACTATCCCCATGTGCACTACATGCCACTTGTCCAGTTTGCAAATTGCATTGCAGTGCTCAACAGTTAAAGATATTTCAGGGAATACCTTTTATAGGTCTTGCTTTTGTTTCATTTAACATTTTGAATGTTATTAGTTGTTGCCCCAATATATCCTCTTCCTAATATCGGCTGCAGCAAAGACCCCATGCCTCCATTGTCAGTCTCCAGTCCTGTAATGTACAAAGGGGTTAACAGAGTACAGAGTTAATCAGTGACTTGTACCTTCAACCCTGAGTGAACACCCGGTCTGATTTGCTAAGGTGTTGCATAAAGCTTTCCTGCATTGTGGAAAGACAGTCTGTATTTGTTTTGGAAGAGTTACAGAAGGATACAAACATGACCAGAAATAGTGAAAGAAACATTGAATTAATGGACAAATATTTTTCAGAGGGTGAAAAGATTGCCCCAGAAGACATGCTGTTTTCCTACAGAGATATTTTATTCCCTGCTTCAGTTAGTAGCCCAGAGACTTTGGAAGCTCTGAAATCCTTTGAAGCCAGGAGCGATGATGTGATTCTAGTAGGCTATCCGAAATCAGGTGAGTCTTGGTTTTTTGATCAGTAGTCAAATACAAAGTGCTGCAATCTAGAAGTTTGAGCCATCATTTAGCACAGTAGTAATTCCCGAGAAAAGCTTATGGTAACATCAGAGTTCATAGGATCATGAATTGAAGTTGTAAGGCATATCTGGAGGTCAAATAATACAACCTCCTGTTCAAAGCCAGGGAAAGAGCTAACCTTCAAAGTTAGGTTTGGTTGTTCAAGGCCTTGTCCAGAAGAGTTTCGAAACATTTGAGGGTGGAGATTCACCACCCACTGAAATCTTTTACAGTGCTTTTCTATGACAGTGATTTTTTTGGGGGGAGTGGGGGGTTGGGATTTAGTTTGTTTGTTTTTACATCAATGCATTCATACATCCCCTTGTTGTGATAAAGGCACTGTCTTCATTATAAGAGCAATGGAGGTGTGCTTCTGCTTCTACTGAGGGACGGGATGTGTTTCTGAAGCAAGCAGGGTGGTACTTCACAGTATCTGCTTGACAG